TGTACCTCAGCGAGAGCCTCCACCTCCCCGAGGTCGCCGCGTACTGGCGCCAGGTCGTCGAGATGAACGAATACCAGAAGCGCCGCTTCTCCAAACGTGTCGTTGACACGCTCTTCAACACAATCACCGGCAAGGTCTGTTTGTGCTTCGTTTCCGCGATGCGTTCATACTGACCATCCGTTCCTGTAGCGTATCGCTGTCCTCGGCTTCGCCTTCAAGGCAGACACTGGCGACACGCGCGAGTCGGCCGCCATCACGATCATCCGTGACTTCCAGTCCGAGCGCGCCTTCGTCAATATCTACGACCCCCAAGTCGCCGAGACGCAGATTTGGGCGGATCTCGCCGAGGCGAGCCCCACGGTCGCCCCCGAGTCCAGTATGCCGTCGTTTCGTCCTCGAAAGCCTATTGCTAATCCTTCCGCCACAGTGAAAAAGCAGGTTAAGATCTGCAGCTCTGCGCTCGAGGCCTGCAAGGACGCCGAGGCAGTCGTGATCGCAACCGAGTGGAAGGAGTTCAAGGAAATCGACTGGGCGCATGTATACAAGCACATGAAGAAGCCCGCATTCGTCTTCGACGGGCGGCTGCTCGTCGACGCCGCCAAGCTGACCGAGATTGGCTTCAAGGTGAGCAGTCCTTCTATCAGCGCTCAGTCTCGGCGCGTTGACGAATGGCGTACAGGTGACTACCATCGGCCGCCCGGCCTTGTAATAACGGATGCTAGAGGAGGTACCTTAGATTCTGCTTTCGGACATTTGGAAAGGAAAATATAAAAGTTAGACTTGTAGCGTACTGTAGATAAGTGGATGGTGGATGGATCCTATAATAACATACCTTGTTGTGCCCTAGATTGAATAGATTTGCAAAATGGATGATGACGGGATGATTTGACTTCATTTTTTAAAACTACACAAAATGTAACTTCGTAACAATAACAATATCAGGAAGCCTTAAAGTAACACGAACCATTTACTGCGGCGGCATGCATCACGTAGAGTACCTACTTAAGCGTAACGTTAGTGGTCAGGTAGGATGGGAAAAAGCAAGAGCGGTGCGCGTGCTCTACGACAACACCGGTGCGTAGTATGCTTAATTCAATGTCCGCTCGACCGTCAGTCAGCGATGTTAACAGCCATGCCATCAGCAGTGGGGGCAGGTGGGGTCGGGAACGAAGGGCCACTGGTGGCGGCGGGAGCAGACACAGGATTCGAGGTCTGCGGGGGAGTATGTGTCTGTGCAGGCGCAGAATTGGTGGGAGAATGTAGGTATTGATTCGGTGCGGTGACGGGCCTCGAATTCGCAGCCGGTGCACTCGGATACGACATTGAGTAGGGGGTCTGGATCGCTGCCTGCGGGCCCTGCTGTCCCTGGGCCTGAGGGAAGTACGCCTGGCCAGAACGATAGTACGGCGATGACCACGCATCCGGCCCTGCGTAGTATTGATTAACGTAATGGGATCCCTGGGTATGCGACGCCGCTCCTGCGGCACTGTTGGTGGGTTGGTTGGCGCCGCTCGCGGATGCGTGGACGTTGGCGCCTAGATTAGCGGTCTGGCCGCCGGGACCGTAACCATACGGCCAATACTCGTACTTAAATACGTTGTACGGATTGTGGCTCCGCGCAGACGTCGGTGGCGGTTGGTGCGTATCCAAGGCCGATGCCGAGGCCGTAGATTGCATACTGTTACAGTCCGCAGTGTGCCGCGTGTCGTTTTTGGGGATAGTACTCTGCGGGTGAGGATGGGCGTGCGAGGGCCCAACGCTTGTGCGGTCATGCGCGGGCCCGAAACTAGTGTGCTGCTGAGCAGGCCCTGAACTGGGATATTGGTCGTGTGCATGCGTCGGTGCAATCGTCGCATGGTACGGTGCGCTCGCACCACTGGTGTCAGGGGCGGAATCTGGATTTGAGACAGATCAGCATGCGAAGGGCAGCGGGAACAACGTAGACTTGCCGGGAAACTTGACTGTTGGGAGGGTCGTCGCGCCTAGGATGATGCTGCCCCACTTGAACTCGCGCACCTCGCCGAGGTCCCAAAGCACCTCAACGCTGCGGCGCTCCTCCACCACGCGCATGAGCGTGACTTCAAACACGCCTGCACTTACACGGAGCTTGATGCGCGAGAGCGGCGGCAGCGCAAGCACGTCGGCACGCAGTGACTCCTGCTTTGATGCTCGCCGCGATGCGACAATCAGCTACGCAGCATTAGATGAGTCGGGAAAACTGGAGCGAAGGGAAACACACGGGATTGTGCTGCGCGCAAAGCGCCTCTGCCTCAATCTTCTTGATGACCTTGAGCACACGCAGGTTGGGCTCCGGCACGGGATCCGAGGAAGAGCTGGGCGGGGCGGGTTCGAGAAGGACGACCTCTTTTTCCACCTCGCGTACGATGCTGTAAGCGATGCCCGCGGCACCGCCAGTCTTGGCACAGTTGACGTGGAATGACTTGGGGCACTTGCCCTTCGCGCACTGGATGAGTGCCCCATGGGCCTTTGATCGCGCGCGGATGCATGAGGAGCATTTCTGCAGATGAGTCGATAAATTACACAAGTAAGCGCGGAAGGGAAGCGTACGAGGGCCCAGCGTGCACGGACGATACCGTCGACGCCAAAAACGATGCGCTCGCCCGCGATCTCATCAACCCACGTCTCGGGAAGTACGAACGCGCATGCCTCGTGCGCCATCCACACAGCTCTTCCGCCGATGAAGTGCATGCGTGTCGCGGGCCCAAGATCACGCCATGCTGGGGGCAGATCGTGAACGCGCGCAAGGCCATCCGTGCTAGGATCAACACAGAGGCAGCAGGGAAAGGTCTCCTCCTCGGGTCGTGGACCAAGTTTGAGGGTGAGTCTTTGTGCAGGGGCGGCGGCAGCAGAGGTAGATGCCAATGGGGGAGCGGAAGTAGAGGTAGACGGGGCGGAGATGGTGCGCGGGCGTTTGGCGGCGCCAGCGGGCTCGAACGGTGTGGTGGGCTTGCGCTTGCGAGGACTGCGGGGCTTCGCTGGGGGGATGATGACGGTGGGAAGGGCTTCGGGCTTGGACTCGACGGGAAATATATCCTCGACATTTTCGCCATCACGGACGGCACGAGCCAAAGCGGCGGCGACCGGGTCAGTCTTTTCAAGAGCCTCGATGCGACGGTCCTCGAGCAATTGGTCGACATCAATGCGGACGCTACCGATATTTGTTAGGCCCCTGAAGTAGTGCGGATAGTGCGGATAGCCAAGAGGTCTCACCTGTCATCAACACACTTGCAGACTGACGCCTTCCGTCCTTCCTCAAGCCAGCTATCGAGGGCAAAGTTGACGCTCTCAGCGCAATTAAGGCCGAGGTTGAAACCCGCATGGTAGCCGCGGGGATACGTGATGACGAACTCGCCTGCGTGCTGCACAAGGTGGTTTGGGCGGACGGCAGATTGAGCAAGGAGCGTTGGTGATGCGAGGAATGACTTGTGCCGCAGGAATTGGGGGCAGGTCGAGGTGTCCTGTGGGAAGTACCCTGTTGGGAAAGGTTGGAATGAGCCGCAGGTGGGCAACTAGACTCACCTCGCATGGTATCTTCCAATGCACCAGCACGGGCCTGAGGAATGGCATACCAAAACTTTGGTGCGCCAAAATGGATATAATTTATCGAAAAGAGATCCATGTCCTCGACGTGCCATGCAAAGGTCGCACGCCACATGCCAAAGTAGAGGTAGGGGGTATTCACGCCGGGCAGACCTTGGGAGCTGGCGGGGAGGAGGCGAGATAGGGTGGAATGGAGGTGGGCGACGTTCCAGGCAGTGGTCACAGAAGTGTAAAGGGAACCTGCCGCCGCGTTTTAGTAGACGGGGAAGACGAAAAAATGCGTGACGCACCCATGGTGTCGGCACCGTACCAGGCAGGCTTTCCAAGGCCACAGTTGCGCCAGAACGCACGCTCCAGCTTCGCGCAAAACTCGGGGGTGTAGTCTACGGCCCTGGTGCTAGGAGGTAGCCAGTCGGTGTGAGGGTTAAAGGTCTCGAGAAACAAGGAGTCCTTGTCTGCACGCTCGACGCGGCGGTTGCGGGGTTTACTGTCGTCGGGCTTTGCATCTTCTGGGTCGGGGGAAGCGCTGTTCGGTGGGGAGGCCATAGTGACGTCGGGACCGTCGTCGGTGGGATGTGGTTTGATGTCGTTGATGTCGGGGTCGGCGACCTTTCCAGCAGTCTTCTTTCTGCGACTCCGGAGAGGCGGTAGCGCGCTGGGGTTATTGTGGACGCCGACCTGATCTACACCGGGTGCGCGGAACTCGTCCTTTGCACAAAGCTCTACCCACTCGCGGACACTCATGAGTTTGCGCTTCTCCATATTCTCCTGGCGAAAGAGGCCCGCTCGGCCACGCATGAACTGCTCGATGGGGCTCTTGATCTTGACGTTCGCGAGCTGCGGCTTGACATCGGGTAGTGCGTCAGTCCACTCCTTTGGTGGCACGACCTTGACGATGCCTGAGCGCCGGCCCCAACACTCGACGCGGGTCATGTAGCCCTCAAAGTCTGCGAATTCATGCATTGTGGGCTTGAAGACGGGGATGCCGCGATGGGCTAGGGGGTCGTCATCGGGAGACAGATACGTTTTCCCTTCTGAGTCCGGCGACGGCGGCAGATGTGATGGGTCTGCGCCGTAGAAGTGGTCGGGCTGCACCGGCGGCTCTGGGGATGGCGACCGCGACGCCGTCAGCGACGACACTGGCGACGACATGGGCGAGAGCAAGGTAGTATGTACGGTATTTTCGTGATTCCCTCTGCCGACCGCCATCACGCGTGACTCGACTTTCTGGACAAATCTCGACTCGGATCTCTCAAGTCGAGGCGTGTTCCAGGTCGGCTATGGCTATTTAAGTTAGCCATGGGTTGCACAGACCTGAGCGTTTCAACAACTTTTGCTTCATTATTGACATGTTTTCCCTCGCATACATATTTGATACGCATAAGCACGCTGAAAAATCCTTGATCCATCCTATTGCCGGGATGTCGCTACTATACAAGGGCACTGTGGCGGAGTGGTTAACGCGACAGATTCGAATCAATAATTCTATCTGTTCCGATTTTCGGGCGCATGTTCGAATCATGCCAGTGTCGGTCTTTTCTTGTGCTTAGCACCTTTCTTGCTTTTGAAGCAGGATGATATCTGAACACGAGGTTGCCCTTCATTTGAAGTTCCTATGCTGTTCCAGTTGGCACTTTAACCCGATACGTATTTCCTTGAGAGCAAGTTTTTTTTGTGTTCCTCAGTGCCTTTTGCACCATATTTCTCTCTGTTAGCCATCAGACAGTTGAGTGGTACTGTAGTATTTCGTTCAATTCTCATCGCCTGTGACCTGTGACCGAAATTTCCGAAATCCAGATTTCGGAAATGGCCTGGGGTCCCTGTGACACTTTTTTTTTTCATAAATGCCACTGAAAATTACAGAGGAAGCGGTAGAACAGGAGTCTAGTGGTACCACATGCACTGTTTGAGCATTTTCCGAGCTGAATGAGTTGTGAAACACCCAAGAGAAACTGTCCTAAAGAAGTAATTCTAACGATGTTGTAGTAGTGTACATAGTTTATACGCCACGTGTGAGCAATCAGCGCTGATGTACTTCCTCTCATGCCAAACATGACAGTTCTGCTTGCTACGCAAGCGCCGGGGCCAAAAATTGCATTTTAAAGCCATTTTTGCCGATTTTGTGACATGTTTGGGACATTCGGAAATCCCCTCAAACCCCTGTGACACCTCGAAATTTTTCGTAAAAAAAGGGCCCTGTGACCTGTGACCTTCCGAAGTGAATGAAATACTACAGTATCCATAAGTTAAAGTTTAGGGTTTGAAGCCATCTGTTTTAAAACTTGTTGTGTGTTGCTGGCTTGGTGTTGTTGATAACTCGCTTGGCCGTATGGTGGGCACCTGATAAAACCATATATCTCTTCTAGTTAGAATGGGCACATAGGTGTCAAGTTCCGGTGTTCCGAGCTTTGAAACAAAGCGGGAACATACCATCTGGTGTTGTGCAAGATCCGGCATGAAGCACAGTGGGCCTGATTCTCTGTGTCGGCTCCGGTCCTTCCGGTCCACCTTGCCCTCCTCCGCTCCCTTCCGGGCTCGTCAGGTAGTCGCTCACCCAGCCTCTCTGTGGTGTTGTGATCCTCTGTAAATACCTCCCGTCCTTCCGGTCGCTTCCGGTACTTCCGGTCATTCTGGTACCCCGGACATTCCCCTATCCTCGGCACGGTATTTAACAGTATAATCAAACTCACCTATCTGACTGGCCATGTTCCCCGACGACTCGCCTACCGTTCCGGCTGCGGTCATTGAAGACCGTGTCCCTCACGATCATTGTGATTCCCGACTATTCTTCCAAATCGTTCCTTATCAGTCCCCTGGTGTTCACACCTATCATCCTCCCGCTGTGGCCCTTCTCCGGGGCAGACGTTCTCACCCCGATACGTTGAAACGGTTGCTCAGAAACTAAGCGTGCAAATGCAAAACAAACTAAACCCAACCAACCAAGTTATTGCACTATCGTCCTCTAGATGCACTCTAGCACAACCCCCGGAAACCTGGACTTAATCCACTAAACACCTCTTTACTGCACCAAAGTTTATCTGACAAGATCGGGTCTTATTAGACACAAGTGTAGGTCTAAGGAGCTCCGAGTCAAGATTTAAGGTTCCTGCACAAGAAAGGTCTCGTAAGAGAGGAACTTCCAAGTTGGTTATGGTATAGTCTCGTCCGTAGAACTTGACAGAGTCAAGATTCTTAGGAGTATGAGTCTTGTGGGACTTTAGATTTTAAGCTTCTCAGCTATATGCAAGGTACGGTTTTTAAGGCCGGCAAGGTTTTTAAGGCTTTTGCCTGGTTCTCTTTTATCGGAGCGGATAAACGGTCTTCGGAATGACTTCGGATCTCAAAATTCCCAGTTCAACGGACACGGAGTACTTCGGAGTTACGGAGACGGATACGGTTTAGCACGGAGCTCGACGATCTTAAGAACGGACGGTTTATCAAAAGAAACTTTAATTCGGGACACTATCGCAAGACAGCGGAATTCCAGAGTAAAGCCCTCAACCAAATCCTAGCTGTGATGAGGGACAATGGTAGTTGCCTCGTACACGAACTGGGGTCCCATTCAATGCCGTCCTCTCTGCTCCTCTGGTCTTTTATACTACAGGTATTTACAATTACAAACGATGATCGACTACTTTGGTATACATTGCTTATTAAATAGTCGTCGGATATGCTGCGCGGTTTATGTGATTGGTGGGCCACGCCCCTCTGTCTTGAGAGTTGGGGTTGTTACGGTTCCTAGGTTTCTAACCCCTCGATCGGTATAGGATAACTCCTGTTGAACGAGTTGTGTGGTGCATTTCTTAGCCCTGGTCTCCTCCCTTTACGTTCTCTCTTCGTTACTTAGGTAGCGCTGGGCCGTAGCTTTCCAACGGTACCACATACTATAGGTTTCTATGGGATGTACCCCTAAGATTCCGATAATCTTAGACAAACAATCCTAATCTCCTTTGGACATCTCCGCTGGTCTAGTGACATGTCACGTGACTCCGGCGCGTCGCGTATTCTAGCTAAGCACGATAAAACTTTGCGGGTTCTAAGGTTCGTAGGTCTGGGGCTTCAACCTTACTTCGCAGAGTGGATGTTCTAAGCCTCCTGGTTTGGTGGATAATTGTAAGGGCAACCACGCGGCCCGAGAAGTCAAGGGTCCTGGCGTGGGGAATCCGAAGGTTAATTGACAGGCCGTGCTACTAAGTACAAGTATAGCGCACCTGGCGTGGGGAATCCGAAGAGAAGAACGTCTGAGGATTCCCACGCCCGGAGCCGCCTAAAATACCTACTGACTAGTAGCACGTGCGCGGGGTGATCGGAGCAACCGGAGTGACGCGCATAGGTCCCGTGCGCGGTCGCAGGCCACGTGGTATCCGGAACCGGAGTTCCGGCGGGGTCGCGGGAGCGGGCGAGCGGGGGCGGAGCGAGCGACGGGGGGAGCGGCGGAGGGAACGGGGACTGGGGCGGAGGTCGGAGCGGAGGCGGGGTCGGGGGCCGGAGCGGAGACCGGAGCCGGAACCGGAACCGGAACCGGAACCGGAACGGGGGCCGGAGCGGGGGCTCCCCTGACACCATCCCCCCCTTGGAATGCGGCGCCTCGACGCATCGTCCGGACGTGGACGTCGGGGCTTCGGAAGGGGAGGGAGTCGAAGGTGGCGGTCGTGATGGCGCGTGGTGCGGCGGGGTACTTCCGGTAGAAATCTGCGACGAGTTCCGGAGCGAAAACGTCGGAGTGTTTAACCCATGAATCGTGAGAAGAATTGTAACCTTTCCACTGCACGAAATACCAGAGCGAGCCCCACCGGTACTTCGCGTCCACGATCGCCTCGACTTCCCACTCGGGTGGCGTGTCCGGAACGGCGCCCGGAGCGTCCGGAGCGTCCGGAGCGCCGCGGAGGACCGGCGGAGGCTCGTCATAGCCAGTCCGACCCTCGAAGGGGTCGTCCTGAGCCAATTCGAGCTTGACGACCGGAAACACCGGATGGAGCTGCGAGAGCCGGGGAGGGAGTTCGAGCTTGTACGCGCCCCGCCCGATGACCTGGAGCACCCGGAAGGGCCCCAAGCGGCGGTGCGCGAACTTAGCGGAAGGGCGAGTGGTCTGGATGTCGGAGGCGTCCAGCCAGACCCGGTCGCCTACCTTAATCTCCGGCGCCGGAGTGCGCCGGCGATCGTAGTACCGCTTGTACTCCTCCTTAGCCTTGACGAGCGCCGCCCGGGCTTCGGAAACTCCGGAGGCGATCCGGTCGCGGAATTCGTTAACCGCTTCCACCTTCGAGCGCAACCCGTTCGGCTCGAACCCCATCCGGGGGAGCCGTCCGGTATCGGTCATGAACGGGACCTGTTGCGTCGACGAGTGGATGTGGTTGTTGTAGGCGAATTCGGCGGCCGGAAGGAGCTCGTCCCAGTCATCCTGCTTGTAGTTAGTGAAAAGCCGGATGAACTGCTCCATCTCCTGGTTAACGCGCTCGGTCTGACCGTCGGTCTGCGGGTGGTACGACGTGGAGGTCGCCGGAGCGACTCCGATGAGGCGCCACAGCTCCCGGGTGAACTCCGCGATGAACTGCGGACCCCGGTCGGAGATATACTTCTCCGGGGTCCCGTGGAGCTTCCACACGTTCCGGTAGTACAACCGCGCAGCTCCGACGGCGTCCAGGGTCGTGTGGCACTCGTTAAAGTGCGCACGCTTCCCGAGCGCGTCGACGACGACCATCACCGCGTCGTACCCGTGAGCTTCCGGAAGCTCGACGACGAAGTCCACCGAAACCGTGCTCCAGCGCTCTTCCGGAACCTCCGTCGGGTGCAACTCACCGACCGGAAGCTTCCGGAGCGCCTTCGTGCGACAACACAAGTCGCACGTCGCGACGTACCGGCCGACGTGTCGGGACAACTGGGGCCACCAGTAGTTCCGGGAGACAAGCTCCAACGTCTTGAAGCGGCCGGCATGCCCCGCCACACGGGTATCGTGGTGCTGCTCCAAGATCCGGCGTCGGAGGTCGTGATCCCGGGGGACCACGATCTTGCCGCGGAAGTAGAGCAGCCCGTCGTCCACACGCCACTCCGCGGACCGGAGCGACCGGGAGCCCCGGACGTTGAGGGCCTCTCGCGCGGCGATAGCGAGAGGGTCCTCGAGGTCCGGACCACGCGCGAGCGCGTCCCGGATGTCCCGGAGCACCGGACGTTCCGGTCCGGTCACCACTACACCCTCGATCGCGCGGACATGGAAGAGCTCCGGAGACAGGAGGGTGACGTCCTGGTTATCCGGGGCCGCTCCGTGGTCCGGGCGACGCGACAGCGCGTCCGGTCGCCCCATCAGGCGCCCGGGCTTGTGGTGGAGCGTGAAGTCGAACCGGGACAGGTACAGCGACCACCGCGCCTGCCTCCGGTTGAGGTTCTGCGACTTCCGGAAGTACTCCAGGTTCTTGTGATCGGTCCAGATCTCCACCGGATGCTGCGAGCCCTCGAGGAAGTGTCGCCACTCCTCGAGCGCGCGGACGATCGCGAGCATCTCCTTGTCGTGGATCTCGTAGTTGCGCTGGACCGG